TTTTTTTTTTTTTTTTTTGTCTGTACATTTGACAGCTTTGTTTCCTTTTTTATCTGATAAAAACTCGTCTATATACCAGTATACCATTCTTCTCTCTTCTACACTTGATATTTTTCTGTCATTTTTATTTGTTGATACTGCTGCAATCAACATACCTAACAGTTTATTTTTTAAACATCAGCCAACCCCCATTTAGTTTAATTAATTTTGTTGCAATATATACATAAATTATCAGTAGTTTACCTGCGTGTCATTTTTTAAATTACAATCTTCTAGCTATCACTTGTATGATAAGGTTTGGTGCCATATACCCAGTATTACCATTTCAGTCTTCTTTTTTATTTGTCTCATATTTATTTAGCAAGTTGGTTATTGCAACAAGACTGGCAAAACAATTCAGTAATGTGTTTTAGTTTGGTTGTTATTATTTGTTCAGTCACAGAAAACATTATCTGATAAGATAATATTCACATATTCAATTGAATCATGATGTTTTTTTACATGTGTGTATATGCATGCTGTCATTCTAGGTTAAGACAGTAGAATATCAGGATGACGGTTTGACTTTAAAAATATCATTAAGTTTAAATTTTTTGTTATCTTTAGGGTACCTGTGAATGTCTTGGTGTATTTGACCTCAGGCATATAACTCCAAAGATTGAAAAGCAGCAGAATGCAGTTGAGGCTTTTCCAAGACTTGAACAGGTTTGTTAAGATGACAGTCTCTCTCTCTCTCTCTCTCTTTCTCTCTCACACACACACACACACACACACACACACTTTTTTCATCAAAAATATGTAACGCTTTGAATAAAAAAAGAAATAATACCCATTGACAGTAATAATTGATTAAGAATTCATTAGTGTTGAAACTCTTTACAGCAATAATGCAGCAATTTTTTGTGCACTTTTATCAATTTTCAGTTGTATTGATGAATGAATTTTTTATTTCCTCAGTTTGCAAAAGATGTACTGAAGATTGTTAATTCTGAAAGAGCCCCGAAACTTAAAGACTTTGCTCAGCGCACATCTCACAAACGAGAGCATGCAGTCTGGTGTGAAAGGACATGGAGTCATGTTCTACCCACTCTAGAATTCTGGGTGCAGGAGCTTGCCTCTCTTAGAGTAAGATCCCATTTATGATTTTTTTAAAACTTTTATAAATGAGTTATCAAAAACTTTTTAGTTAAGTTTTATTTTCACTTCTTTTGATAACAATGATTAAAAAATGAATTTTATTATCAGTGTTTTCACTTTTCAGAACATGAAAAGGCATCTTTAGACAAAAACTGTAGATGCTTGTAAAAGAATCAGAGTGTAGAAAAAAGGGGAAAATATATATATTATATATATAAATTTTATTTTATTGTATAAAATTATTTGTCATTAAAAAAATTAATTTACCCTGTAAGAGTTGCAGCAGAGTGTGAACAATTTGTGTATTTTACAGATACTGTATTGTTAAGTCATTGTTCCTTTAAAATTTATCTAGAACATTCCCGTTGAGATGTAGCTACAAATTTTATAAGAAAGCTACTCTTTAAGTCTATTCTGTGCCGTCAAAGCACCACAAATGCTATATAGCAATATAAATTTAATTTTTGATTTTGTACCTCGTAGGAGTTGCAGCAATCTGTGAACAAGCTGTCAACCAGGCTCGCACCCTTCACGTACCGTAAGCTGGTGGGGGACGCCAAAGTCTCTCAGATCATTTCAGCCATTGATGCCTTGACCTTTGAGGGTGGCGTGTCAGAGGAGCCAGTAAGTACATGGGGAATGTATGAGATTGGGGAACCACGTAGGCTTCTTGTGTTGAACTTTTTGTGCAATTCTGAGATTTTTATATTTACCCGACTGTTCATTTTACTTTATAAATGTATGTGCATTGCAAGATGATACAGATGTTGATTGGACACAGAAAACCACCTTTATTAAATTGTTTATCCTAGTTACACTACAGCTTCCATAAGAGTTACCAACTTTTTGTTTGGGGGAGGGGAGGATGGACAGACAAGCCAACGGACAAGATTCACAGACACAGGGGGGTTAAACTGCATTGCCATTTTAAAATATTGATGAGATTTGGTGTATTTCAGGACGGCACAGAGCTTCCTTCTGGCACAGTGCTGAAGAACATAGTGGAGCACTTCCAGAACCTCTTTGATGTGGAATCTGTGAATGGAGTGTATCCCAGAATGAACGAGATCTACAGCAAGCTTGGGGAGGTCCACAATGTGCTTAGGTCTCTCAGAGATCTCTTAGGACTGCGTAAGTACTCTTTGAGTTTGATCTTCTCCATCATCATAATGACTGTAGTCCACCATCGGCATCATCAATCAAAGATTAGCTTATTTAGATTTCAAGACCCTGTGGTTGCCCATGAGACGGGCAATTGCTCGGTTGTGTATTCTGAAACAAGTGTCCTCAAGAGGAACCTGGGCAGAGGTTTTGTGTCCTGCACCCAATTAGTTTGATCTGAAAATGTAACGTAATTTTTCTATAGATTAACATATAGATTAATGTTTCATTTATTTATTTGTTTATTTATTTATTTATTAAATCAGCTGAAGATGCCAAGTCCACTGCCATAGTAGATGCTGTGGGTAAACTGTGTCAGCAGCACACCAGCACCACCTGGAGGCAGCTGAAACAACTATTGGAGGAGGAAGACCTAGATAGGTACAGTGTGTACAGTGTACTACTTTTTCTGAAAAAAAATGATATGAGAGGTGTCAAATAGTGCAAGTTCTAGTTTTCTAGACATTTTGTTTTCAGTTAAATTTTGATGCTTTTAGTCCATCCACAGTTTGACAGATATTAAAAGTTAATGAGAAGATTTGTGAATATCATAGTGTAAAAAGTAGGAAGGCAATTTAGTTATTTATGTTAATTGAATAATAATTTTGTTCCTTTGATACTGTGGTATCCATAATGAGAATTTTCATGGACTGCATTTTTCAAGTTTTGTATTATTATTAAATTATTCCAGTGTCCGTAAACGCCTGGAGCAGCATGATGAATTCTTCCCAGTTTTCCAGGAAATGATGGATAAACTCATGGATATTCTAGGTATATTTTATTTTTGAATCTGGCTTCTTTGTGGTTAAAGAGAGAAATCTTTCATTTTTAGCTTAATTTCAGTTTTGAAGATTTACCCCCTTTCTTTTGCAAAACAAGGTTATACTGTAGGTTTGATATTCTCCAATAATTTCATTAGTTTAATAAATGAATTTTATTATAACTTCAATATTTTTTATTTCATTACTTGATTAGTGAATAAAAGACTATGTAATAATCGCCAAATTATAAAAATTAATGTTCAGGATTCAGTTTTTTCACACTGACCTTTTGAGCATAATTGCCCTTGGTCTTAATCACAGTGACATTATTTATTTATTTATTTATTTATTTATTTATTTATTTATTTATTTATTTATTTATTAACAGGTGTCAGTCGTATAGACCAGGTCATCCCAGCTGTGAGAGCTCTGAAGTTGTTAACAGAATGATCAGCCAGCCACACCGACTTGTATACAAGCATAATAAGAATGATGATTATAATGGAATGAAACTGGACATGAAGACACAAAATGTTCTGTACTGGACTGCTGAACATTCAATAAATTTTTATCTCTCATACTCTCTAAAAAAACGATGTGAATGAAACATTCCACAGTAAAAAGTTTTCTATTAAGCCTAACACATTGGAAGTCTAAAAAATAGCATATTATTGTGAATTTTATTTATATTTATAGATATGAGCAGTAGTATAAATATTACAACACAAAGTTGGGAAGAATTTGCATAAAATTATACTGTCATAGTGGTTGGAAAAAATTTAGTTTATCAGGTCTGTTTATTTGTATTCCACACTTGTGAGGGAAACTTTTAGAATACTTTTACAATAATCGTTTTATATTAAATTGTTTTATTTCCTGACCACATTAACTGTTATACAGCTAAGCCAAGCAGTGCCTTAGTGAGAGTGTGCTAGAGTCTGTAATCTAATGACTGGAAATCAGAAAATTAGTTTTACAATGTTGGTTTTAAATTTCCAGTCATGTGTTGCAATAGTTAAAGTACACTAAGTACTTTCTGTGTTGCCTGTTTAGTTTTATATTTCACCACATTATAACAGTTTTAAAAATTAAGAAATTGTTTTCTTAGCATTACAATATACATTCAGTTTTCAAAAATTATAAATATTTTTCTTTTACAAATACATATGTGCAATTCATCATTCTTTCTTCTTGTATTAGAATTTCACACCATAGTTTTTGTAACACTCCAGTCATGATGCTTAAATCTGAATAAAAGTAGCTTTCCACTTTTTTGATATTCATTGAAGATTATTGGAATGGACTATGTACTAGTGCTGGGGATAGTTGCATTACTATTGAAAATAGATGTTGGTCAGCTCTTTTTCTGGAAGGCTTGGGGGCACCAGAGGCTTCTATTACCCGCACACGCGTGTGCCCGTGCACGTACACATATTCTCACCCCCACTGATACGATCATGTGACTGGCCTTAATAATATACTCCAAATGAATTTTTTAGAAGAAAAGTTTATTTCAAAATCTAGATATCGAGTTTTTTTTTTTTTTTTTTATCTGTCACTTTGAATTATTACCAGACCTGTTCAGCTAATGTATTTGATAAAATAATTGTATTTTTTTTTTCAAGTTTTTACCTGTATATGCAGACACTGTCTTTATATATGGGTTTTGTGATATAAATCCAAATCCTGCAATTTGATACTAGTACCCATCAAATGATCCCCTTCCATATCAAATAATCATAATGAAGACAATAGATTGAGTGATAATGAACAATTTCTTTTCAACAGGACTGTATAGTGCCATTGTGATTCAAATGAGTGATTAAGAATATCTTATACAAATAATCTAAACTATAATATGGCTGAAAATAAGTAATCAAGTTTTCTACTATGTAAATTAATGTGCCAGTAAATGCATGTAATGATGGTGTCTCATGTGTGTTTTACAGTGTTACTAATACTTATCTTTTTTCAAAAGTGTGCACCAATTAAGTAATTGGCCAGTTTCCATGTGTTCACAGTTATAATAAATTTTAAAAGTTTGCCGTTCATATCATTATTGCTATTCATATCATTAATGCTATTTGGAACAGTTTAGAACTATGATTCAGTTAGTCAATTTTTTTAATTTCAAGAGGGGGCCAGAAATCAAAAGGGGGGGAGGTCAGGACCCCCCCCCCCCCTGACCCCCACTAAATCTGCCACTGTATTAGGGCGGAGAGACGGATTGCATTCTCATATAAATTACAAGGTGGTTAAATATGCTGAGATATTGGACCAAACTGATTTTAATGAATTCATCAAGATCAGCGAAAAAGTTTTTTTATCATATATCATAATAAACACAAAAAAACTTATCAAGGGAGTTACCCAGCGGGCAAATTATGTTGTTTTAACGTTGAAACAACGTTGAACCATAACGTTGAAAAGACATTGAATAAACGTTGGATTTGAAAGTTGCGTCAACCTCAGATAACAACGTTGTATCAACGTCAGAAAACAATGTTATGTCAACCCCACCCAGCGGGAAATTTGCCTGGATGTGTTTAGCAGTAGGACATGTTTGATGGCTAAATATATGTAGGGTATAAATGTTTGGCCTTTAAGTTAAAATTTCCAATGTTTGGATTAATATATATAGATCTTATATATATAACAAGGTCACAGTCACCTCAACCTGTCTATCTATAACAGGTTACCAAGAACTGTTAACTCCATCACATTTACAGCAACTTATTGATCCTAGTGTTAGCTGACCTTGCAAGTAATTCAGTTTATAATATTGGAATGTATTTCTGAATAACAAGTTAAGAAAATTCACTAGTTAACTAAATACACAAAACAACTGTCAATTTTACTTTAAAATCATTTTGTTATTATTTTGATAAATTTAGTTACAGTATTGATAAACAAAGTATCACGTTTTCAATAATTAATATTTTAAATTACAATCCATAACTGTAAGGTTGTGTCATTGACCAAAATACAACGTTGAGTCAACGTGGCTGGATCAACGTTGATTTAATTTTGAATTTAGGTAGATCAACGGCAATTCAACGTATCAACCTGTTCAACGTTGATCCAACGCAACTATGCCTGCTGGGTATATACTGTACTATAAGAATTTAGCAGCACAAGTAAATTTGAGCTGGTGTACTGTAGGTATGGATAGTTGTGCGGTAAGCTTGAGAGATTTGGTGTCGAGAGAATGGAGAGATTCTCACTTTTATGATAAACTCAGTACGTACATGTACAGACTATTTGAAAGGGAATGTAAGGTAGAAAAATATGTCACAGTCGACAAAATGACAAGATTATTGGCGGCACAGTTAAGGCTAGGTTTACCACCCCAAAGAATAGAGACGGGCAGGTTTGTTAGGGAAAGTGTAGAGGAACGAGTGTGTGTGATGTGTGAGCAGGCCCGTAGCCAGGGGGGTACGGGGGGTTCGAAAGAACCCCCCTTTTTGCTGGAAAAAGGTCCACTCTGGGTAAAATTTGACCTAGGTACATGGGGATTATATGGTAAAAGGTCCACTTTTTCAGAAATAGACCCCCCCCCCTTTGAAATAGCTGGCTACGGGCCTGGTGAGTGTGGAAAAATACAAGACGAGAGGCATTTTTTATGTGGATGTTCGGCTTACTGTACATATAACCTCAAAGAAGATATGATGTCAAGAATTTTGGAGAACGATTTAGATTTTTTTAAAATTTGGATTGGTTAGAAAAACTTTAAAAAGTAATGGAAAAAAATATGTAATATTTACCAGAGGTAGGGCCTACATGTACCAGTGCGCCTTTACGATCTAAAAACTTTAATCTGTAAGAAATATTAGGTACACGTTTATATTTAGTTAACGTATTTATTTGATTTTCTTATTAGTTGATTGAAAATTATTGAACATAAAGAAAAACAAGTCACTTATAAGCCCACTGGAGCTGGGTGCAAAAAAAAAAGAAAATATTGTATACACTCTTCCTTTAAACGATGCTCTTCATTCTTTCCATCAATAATTGAAGCACCTACGGCACTGACAGGGTACCCAGCCTGTGTCCTCGTTTAGAGCTACCTGTAGAATACATGTAAGTAGAATTTGATGAACTCTGAAAAAAACGAATCGCTTTTACTGAGAGTAGGCCTATATCCTGAATCCGGAACTCCAAAGCATACTGTGCACTCCTGCACCAATTCCACATTGTATATTAACAGGGGCGTAACCAGANTATATGATAAGGTTTGGTGCCATATACCCAGTATTACCATTTCAGTCTTCTTTTTTATTTGTCTCATATTTATTTAGCAAGTTGGTTATTGCAACAAGACTGGCAAAACAATTAAATAATGTGTTTTAGTTTGGTTTTTATTATTTGTTCAGTCACAGAAAGCATTATCTCTTAAGATTATATTCACATATTCATATCCTACAACAAACCAAACAAAGCTGTTGACTGGACTTTGGTATAGTGTTGACATGAAATTGCGACTGATCACATTCACAGCCACAATCTGCTGCCAATTCTACATCATGTTCTAAAATAATTTTTTCCAATGTGTGTCAGTTTCTTAACAACATTCCTTACATCCTCACTTAAATTTTCACTCTGTTTCTACCTGGTCCTGAAACTATGATCTGATTAATCATGTTACCTGTTGTGCATGAGTTCTTTTTGTCTGTACATTTGAGAGCTTTGTTGCCTTTTTTATCTCACAAAAACTAGTCTATATACCAGTATACCATTCTTCTCTCTTCTACACTTGATATTTTTCTGTCTTTTTTATTTGTTGTTACTTATGCAATCAATATACCTAACAGGTTATTTTTTAAACATCAGCCCACCCTTATTTAGTTTAATTAATTTGGTTGAAATAAAACATAAATTATCAGTAGCTTACCTAGGTGTCATTTTTGAAATTACAATCTTCTAGCTACATGTTTCACTCATATGATAAGGTTTGGTGCCATATACCAAGTATTACAGTCTTCTTTTTTATTTGTCTCATATGCATTTAGCAAGTTGGTTATTGCGACAAGACTAGCGAAACAATTCAATAATGTGATTTAGTTTGGTTGTTATTATTTGTTCAGTCACAGAAAGCATTATCTCATAAGATTATATTCACATATTCAATTGAATTATGATGTTTTTTTACATGTGTGTATATGCATGCTGTCATTCTAGATTAAGACAGTAGAATATCAGGATGACGGTTTGACTTTAAAAATATCATTAAGTTTAAATTTTTTGTTATCTTTAGGGTACCTGTGAATGTCTTGGTGTATTTGACCTCAGGCATATAACTCCAAAGATTGAAAAGCAGCAGAATGCAGTTGAGGCTTTTCCAAGACTTGAACAGGTTTGTTAAGATGACAGTCTCTTTCTCTCTCTCTCTCTCTCACACACACACACACACACACACACACACACACACACACACACTTTTTTCAACAAAAATATGTAACGCTGTGAATAAAAAAAGAAATAATACCCATTGACAGTAATCATTGATTAAGAATCCATTAGTCTTAAAACTCTTTACAGCAATAATGCAGCAATTTTTTGTGCACTTTTATCAATTTTCAGTTGTATCGATGAATGAATTTTTTATTTCCTCAGTTTGCAAAAGATGTACTGAAGATTGTTAATTCTGAAAGAGCCCCGAAACTTAAAGACTTTGCTCAGCGCACATCTCACAAACGAGAGCATGCAGTCTGGTGTGAAAGGACATGGAGTCATGTTCTACCCACTCTAGAATTCTGGGTGCAGGAGCTTGCCTCTCTTAGAGTAAGATCCCATTTATGATTTTTTTTTAACTTTTATAAATGAGTTATCAAAAACTTTTTAATTAAGTTTTATTTTCACTTTTTTTGATAACAATGATTAAAAAATGAATTTTATTATCAGTGTTTTCACTTTTCAGAACATGAAAAGGCATCTTTAGACAAAAACTGTAGATGCTTGTAAAAGAATCAGAGTGTAGAAAAAAGGGGAAAAATATATATTATATATATTTTTATTGTATTGTATAAAATTATTTGTCATTAAAAAAATTAATTTACCCTGTAAGAGTTGCAGCAGAGTGTGAACAATTTGTGTATTTTACAGATACTGTATTGTTAAGTCATTGTTCCTTTAAAATTTATCTAGAACATTCCCGTTGAGATGTAGCTACAAATTTTATAAGAAGGCTACTCTTTAAGTCTATTTTGTGATGTCAAAGCACCACAAATGCTATATAGAAATATGACTTTAATTTGTGATTTTGTACCTCGTAGGAGTTGCAGCAATCTGTGAACAAGCTGTCAACCAGGCTCGCACCCTTCACGTACCGTAAGCTGGTGGGGGACGCCAAAGTCTCTCAGATCATTTCAGCCATTGATGCCTTGACCTTTGAGGGTGGCGTGTCAGAGGAGCCAGTAAGTACATGGGCAATGTGTGAGGTTGGGGAACCATGTAGGCTTCTTTTGTTGAACTTTTTGTGCAATTCTGAGATTTTTATATTTACCCGACTGTTCATTTTACTTTATAAATGTATGTGCATTGCAAGATGATACAGATGTTGATTGGACACAGAAAACCACCTTTATTAAATTGTTTATCCTAGTTACACTTCAGCTTCCATAAGAGTTACCAACTTTTATTTGGGTGAGGGGGGGGGGGTGGACAGACAAGTCAACGGACAAGATTCACAGACACAGGGGGGTTAAGCTGCATTGCCATGCATTTTAAAATATTGATTAGATTTGGTCTTTCTTAGGACGGCACAGAGCTTCCTTCTGGCACAGTGCTGAAGAACATAGTGGAGCATTTCCAGAACCTCTTTGATGTGGAATCTGTGAATGGAGTGTATCCCAGAATGAATGAGATCTACAGCAAGCTTGGGGAGGTCCACAATGTGCTTAGGTCTCTCAGAGATCTCTTAGGACTGCGTAAGTACTCTTTGAGTTTGATCTTGGTCATCATCATAATAACTGTAGTCCACCATCAACACAATCAATTAAAGACTAGCATAATTAGATTTCAAGACCCTGTGGTTGCCCATGAGACAGGCAATTGCTCAGTTGTGTTCTCTCAAACAAGTGTCCTCAAGAAGAACCTGGGCGGAGGTTTTGTGTCCTGCACCCAATTAGTTTTTACATAATTTTTCTATAGATTTATGTATATATTAGCATATCAATTTATTTATTTATTTATTTATTTATTTATTTATTTATTTATTAAATCAGCTGAAGATGCCAAGTCCACTGCCATAGTAGATGCTGTGGGTAAACTGTGTCAACAGCACACCAGCACCACCTGGAGGCAGCTGAAACAACTACTGGAGGAGGAAGACCTAGATAGGTACAGTGTACTACTTTTTCTGAAAAAAAAAAGTGATATGAGAGGTGTCAAATAGTGCATGTTCTAGTTTTCTAGACATTTTGTTTTCAATTAAAGTTTGATGTTTTTAGTCCATCCATAGTTTGAAAGACATTAAAAGTTAATGAGAAGATTTATGAGTATCATAATTAAGCAGAAAGGCAGCTTGGATATTTATGTTAATTGAATAATAATATTGTTTTTGAAACCATACTATTTATAAGAAGAATGAAACCATCTTTTCTATAAGAAGAATTTCCATTGCCTGCCTTTTTCAAGCTTTCACAGACCTTATATTTATTCATTCCAGTGTCCGTAAACGCCTTGAGCAGCATGATGAATTCTTCCCAGTTTTCCAGGAAATGATGGATAAACTCATGGATATTCTAGGTATAATATATATTTTAAATATATTTTTGAATATTGTATGTTGGCATGGCATATATAGAAACTAGAATGAAATGGTCTATTTAGTGTTTGTAAAGCAAAAAAAATCATTTGTTTTTGAAGGCCCTTTTTTAAAAACTTAAATTTAGTTTTGGAACTTAACCCTCTTACTTTTGTAAAACAAGGTTATAGTGAAGGTTTATGATATTCTTCAATAATGTCATTAGTTTAATAAATTAATTTATAGTATTTTCAGTATTTTTTGTTTCATTACTTTATTAGTGAATAAAAGACTTTATGTATTATTCGACATATTATTAATAAAAAATAAATGTTCAATTTTTTCCACAGCTTTTGAGCATAATTGTCCCTGGCCTTAATCACTGACATTTTATTTATTTTTTTAACTTATTTATTTATTTATTTATTTATTTATTTATTTATTAACAGGTGTCAGTCGTATAGACCAGGTCATCCCAGCTGTGAGAGCTCTGAAGTTGTTAACAGAATGATCAGCCAGCCACACCGACTTGTATACAAGCATAATAAGAATGATGATTATAATGGAATGAAACTGGACATGAAGACACAAAATGTTCTGTACTTGACTGCTGAACTTTTGATAACATATTATCTCTCAATCTCTCTAAAAAAAACTGTGTGAATGAAACATTCCACAGCGAAAAGTTTTCTATTAAGCCTAACACATTGGAAGTCTAAAAATAGCATATTATTGTGAATTTTATTTATATTTATAGATATGAGCAGCAGTATAAACATTACAACACAAAGTTGGGAAGAATTTGCATAAAATTTTACTGTCCTAGTGGTTGGAAAAATTTTAGTTTATCAGGTCTGTTTATTTGTATTCCACACTTGTGAGGGAAACTTTTAGAATACTTTTACAATAGTCATTTAATATTAAATTGTTTTATTTCATGACAACATTAACTGTTATACAGCTAAGCCAAGCAGTGCCTTAGTGAGAGTGTGTTAGAGTCTGTAGTCTAATGACTGGAAATCAGAAAATTAGTTTTACAATGTTGGTTTTAAATTTCCAGTCATACGTTGCAATAGTTAAAGTACACTAAGTACTTTCTGTGTTGCCTGTTTAGTTTTATATTTCACCACATTATAACAGTTTTAAAAATAAAGAAATTGTTTTCTTAGCATTACAATATACATTCAGTTTCCAAAATTATAAATATTTTTCTTTTACAAATACATATGTGCAATTCATCATTCTTTCTTCTTGTATTAGAATTTCACACCATAGTTTTTGTAACACTCCAGTCATGATGCTTAAATCTGAATAAAAGTAGCTTTCCACTTTTTTGATATTCATTTAAGATTATTGTAATGGACTATGTACTAGTGCTGGGGATAGTTGCATTACTATTGAAAATAGATGTTGGTCAGCTCTTTTTCTGCAGGGCCTTAGGGTACCAGGGGCTTCTATCCCCCGCACATGCATGCGCGCGCACACACACACACACACACACACACACCACTGATATGATCATGTGACTGGCCTTAATAGTATACTCCAAATTAATTTTTTACAAGAAAAGTTTATTTCAAAATCTAGATATGGAGTTTCTTTATCTTTCACTTTGAATAATAATTGTTTTTTTTTTTTGTTTTGTTTTTTTTTTGTTTTTTTTTTTTTTTTCAAGTTTTTACCTGTACAGGGGTATATGCAGACACTATGTCTTTATATATGGGTTTTGTGATATAAATCCAAATCCTGCAATTTTATACTAGTACCCGTCAAATGATCCCCTTCCATATCAAATAATCATTATGAAGACAATAGATTGAGTGATAATGAACAATTTCTTTTCAAAGGGACTGTATAATGCCATTGTGATTCAGATGTGTGATTAAGAATATCTTATACTGATAATCTAAAATAAAATGTGGCTGAAAATAAGCAATCAAGTTTTCTGCTATGTAAATTAATGCGCCAGTAAATGCCTGTAATGATGGTATCTCATGTGTGTTTTATAGTGTTACTAATACTTATCTTTTTTCAAAAGCATGCACCAATTAAGAAATTGGCCAGTTTCCATGTGTTCACAGTTATAACAAATTTTAAAAGTTTGCCGTTCATATCATTAATCGTCACGTACGTTATGAGCCTGGTGTTAAACCATGTGTAAACTATTGTCTAAGTCTGAAGGTAGAACTCTTGTGTCAGTTATTAATGAAGCAAAAAGTCTCTGAAACATCAAGTTTAAATCATAGTTGAAATATTCGTCTACTGTTTTGGGCTTTAGTCATTTAAAAGCAGTTTATACAATGAATAGAGCCGTGCGGTATAGTCTAGGTATTCATAAATTTGCACCCATATTATATTACAGGGGCATATCTAGGATTATTTGAAGGGGGATCCGTGGATGCGAAGCNATTTGCGTCTGTCCTGCACACAAAAAAATTATTTTCTGTAGAGGCCCATAGGTAGGCCTATGCCTGAGACAGATGCATATCACCTGTTAATATTGCACAACAATTAGTATGTAAATAAGTAGCAGCCACTTGCACACGTAGATTCCCTGTAGATAGTGTGTATAAAATGTGAATGTTGTACATAATAAAGACACTTTTAGACTTGAGACTGAAGATGTAAGGTTATTCTGTTATGCTTCTCTGTGCACGTAAAGTGAAAGACTGAGTCGAATCCGGAGTCATGTCGGAGCCCATAGATTAGTTAATTCTTTAATGGAAATTGATACACTGAAGTTGAATCAGTACAGTTATGAATTAAAGTGAAAGTCATTTTGAACGGTTCACAACACAACTTAATCTAAAAGGGTGCAGTACGTGAAAAATACAATGTCTCATAGGATGGAAATTAGTGAAAAACACTAGAAATGTAAGGAACTACGCTGACAGACACAAGTGATAGCAATATGTACTGTCTTTATTATATAAAAACTGTCTCCATGCATGCCTGTGACATATGAAGACGCACAGAGGGCTGTTAGACAGCAATTATTTAGATGTGAAATATAATGATAACATAGCAGTTTATTTAACTTCTATTTCGTGTACCGGTAGAAGAGTATAATTTGATCCATATCTCTTTTTTGAAGAGCATATTAGTTTATGTTTAATTGAGTGAAATTTTGAACCTGGGAGTAGGACATCACGATGTCTTTGTGTCCGCACCCGAGAAGGATGTGGGGTGTGTGTATATATACCCTTTACCAGGGTCGCAGATACCCTCTACCAGGGCGACAGATTGATTTTTCACAGATATTCACAGATAAGTCTCTAGATAAATAGACAGTCATTTTGGTCTGATGTCATTCAGCAAAAAAAAAAAAAAAAATGACCACAATAATAACCGTGAACCTGGTAGAGGGTAGGTCGCAGATACCCTGGTAAGTATGTGAGAAAAGTGCTATCATTTATTTTGAGACATAACTGTGAATGTTTAGTGATAAATCAATCTGTGGTCCTGGTGCTACCAGTGGTAAAGGGTAGGACACGTGGAACATACATTGTTACAGCCCTTTATAGACGGCAACTGCCGTCTCCCCGCCCGTACTCGATCAGAACTCAGGGGTTGAAGCAAGGGGTTTTTATTATTCTATCGGTACTGGTCAGTGGTCACTCCTACTCTATGCTCTCCGTTTACATAAGATTTCCTATTTAAATTCGAAATAATGCCGGATAGAAAGATACATGATATATATGTGCATAATATTTAAGGCATACACCATGTGTGTTTCATATCTATATAAAAGACTTGTTAATTTAAGCAATGTCCTCATAAGAACCAATTTAAACCCTGTCGAAAATCGCTGAAAAAAAAACATAAAACTGTTTTCGAGTTTTAATTTTTTTAATTCTGCACAGTGTCATGTGAGTCCACCAGTCTACTTTATGAAAGTGTCTAAATTACCACTTCTTTCCCTGCATATTTAATGTTTGTCCAGGAAAGCAAGATATTTTGTCGTTTCTTTTTTGTTGTCCACCCCCTTTCAGAAAAATTCTGGGTCCAGCAGTGAAAATGTCTAACTGGTTTCCTTGTGGCGGGCGTAGAATGTATAAAGAGGGGGTTAGTGCAAGGGGAAAACATCCGGAAAGAAATCGGGTTCATCCTTCTCACTTCCATAGAGAATATTCCTTACTTTTGGTAAACTTCTCCAGTGCAGAATCCTTTGAACACCTGGATGGGACTTATTGAATGCAGTGGTTATAAACTTTGTGGAAACTCTGTATTCCATATTGTGTTTTCTGCTGGCATTTCCCGGAATGTCCAAATACATGGCTTGTGTCTTAAAGGTCTGAAGCAAGTAAATAATCTCCCCGTTGGCGGTTTTAACTGTGTTGTTCTTGTTAAACCACGTTCGAAAATAGTCACGCGATATACGGAAATCGTTAGAATCGGTGTAGGCTCCATTGCTCGAGTGATGCCTTTTATTTTTTGCGTACACCGCTTTGCAAAGGACACGATTTGAATTATAAAACATTGCAGATATGTGAATGACAAACCACTGCGCAAAGAACCATGAGGTGTGATCTAAATCGCTTATGTATGGCAACATGAAGGACATTGTGTGGCGGTGAAACCCGTTGAAAATAGCATCGAAGTTGTATGTCACCCCAACTGGGGATGGAACAGCAGGGAGGTGAAAAAAATAACCTGGAAACCCAACTGCCGGTTGGAAATCCAGTAAAAACAGTTCAAATCGTTCAAAAGGGTTGCTTGGTAAATTTTTTCGCCACCAGCGTTTCTTATCCTTCTCATTAGTTAGCAACAAGTCATCGTCCAGAAATAGGTAGTACAAGTAGCCGCCGTCATTCCTTTTAGATGCACGTTCAGTTGCTTCCCAAAGCAGCCGGTTACGACCTGTGGCATGAGTGCTATTCGGAAAGTAGATGTCGCCTGTTTTGTCTCTGTACGTCAGCCATATTATTTCTCGATTCGGCGTGGCCTTGAGACCGGGAATAGGGTGTCTTGATGCGCCTTGGACGAGATAGACAAACTGCGGTTGTCCTGTCGTTTCTGGAGAATCATTTTCTACTCTGCTACTTGATATCGGAGAACGGGTAATCACAGTGTCTGGGAAATCCAAGCGAGCCATATATGGCACCAACAGGAGTATCACAGAGACAACGGCAAACAAGGATAGGCGAAAGCATTTCTTCTTCGCCATCTGAGTTCTGATCCTAAACAGAAATTAAAAGAAAATTAATTAATCTTGGTGTTCCTCTGTATACGTGCCCTTTTATGTAAACCAGCAGCACATTTTCAAAGAATAAAAGTATCTTTCATTTAGGACGAAGTACAACATGTAGATCGATTGTACTCAAAAAGTCATTTAAAAATTATATTCGTTAGATGCTAATGTTATTGAGATGAATGAAGTGGTTTAAAAGATTTTTCTTTAAAGATAAATGTCCAAATTATGAATCAAAAGACCCTGAATCAATCCCATGTGCCGCTATGTGTGATGTATACAGTTTCGGATTAATAAATGTTACAGTGGATTTTTTTTGGGTTTGTAAACTTGTTAACAAAAATACAATGTACGTAAGAATGCCTTAATTCGCGAGAAATGACATGTTACTCAGACTCAGTTGCTTCAAAGAGTAAAGGTATATGCTATCACAAAAAGTGCCTGTAACTGTTCTTTAGTCAACTACGTATCAATAATACTGCTGCTACTAATTATTCTGATAAATTCACATATACTGCAGAACACAACTGGCTACGAGTGGGCGCAAACTTACTCTTTATTACATACATGTTTGTACTTACCGTTCGGTGACTTTCTTCTAATACTGTACACTGACAAGTTACAGTAAAATGCAGTCAAGATATGCATCAATTTACCGCACGATCTTTGACCAATGGATACATATATATGCAAATTTTCATTTACATGTATATTTATGGGGGGCGGTGTCAGTGCTTTAACTGACATGCATTCATAGGGGAATCGTAAACGTTTTCTTTGATCAAAAATAATTTTGACAAGAATACGTTGATAACATCGCACCTAATGATCGTACAACTTTTCCCCTCCTCCAAAAAAGCTAATTAGTTAGTTAGGAGTTAGGCCGATCTAAATCTAAACGTCTGGATCGATCTGGGAATGCACCCTATGGCTCTGAAAATGACATCTCCTGATTACGAACTTTTGGAGCTACATACACAGTACGAGCTACAAGAAGAACATGGCAGGAAAGAAGAGTCTAGCAGTAGGGCGGCTTCTCCTGTTACCTTGTCAGGTTGGCATGGTAGGGGCTGTGTGAATTGGACACCACAACAGAATGACAAATAAAACCTGTTCGACATTTTTGGAGCTTTGTATTGTATTGTACTGGCGTTTTACATGTATGAATTAAGGTTTTATAAGCAATTATTTATGTTGCTATGATTAGAATTGAATCTAGAAATTAGTTGGAATATCTCTTTTTATTAAGGTTCTTTATAAGATTTAGATATGGAAATTACGTGAAATATGTACTATTTATTATTATTATTATTATTTTATCGCCGTGTGTGCATCTACGAATAATGATTAAAGGGCGATTCTCATGTAAATTTTGTTCATAAGACATGGAATTTTAAAAAGAGGACTTGGATGAAACAATTTAATATTTTATCAATTAGGAATTAACTTTTTTTTCGAAGGGGGGGGGGGGAAGCTGTACGCACAGTGCCTTCAAGTGCGAACGAAGACAAATCACACAAAGGTAAATGTTCAAACGATGACCACAATTAAAATTTTATGAATCCATTCTCCAGATCACCTTAAGTGCGATGTTATCAATTTTCTTTTCAAAAGTATTGTTTTTTATGGAAGTTCATTATTTCCCTATGAATGCATGGCAAATAATACTGTACGGTGACACCGCCCCCTCCCTCTCCCCAGAATATACGTGTGCAAGTACATGTATAATGCAGGGCAGCTGAGAAGTATATCATTAAATGCAAATTAAACCGAAATTACCAAAATTGTTGGTCAGACCATCATGATAATTTGCATACTTACACACATATATCGTAGGGTCGATGATCGTGCGATACACAGATTCATATCTTGACCGCACTGTACTGTATCCTGTCTTCAACGGTGTACAATACTAGAATAGAGCCTGCGAACGGACGCAGGACAAATGTACTTGTAAAACCCAGGTTAGTATAAATGTACAAGGGAGTTAGTTTGCGCCCACTCGTGGCCAGTTGTTTTATGCAGTAGATGTGAATTTATCAGAATAACTAGCAGCAGCAGTGTTAGTGATACGTGAGGTGACAAAAGAATAGTTACAGGTACTTTTTGTGATAGCATATATACCTTTACCCTTTGAAGCAACCGAGCAACTGAGTGGAATGCATTCGTGGCCTTTTGATTCTTGCTTTGGTGATTTATCTTGAATAAAAAAATCTCAAATCTTTTAAACCACATTATCAGCCTCAATAACAATAGTATCTCGATATGCTTCTGATTTTGTTAATACAATCGATCTATTTTGTCTCAAATGAAAGAGAACATCCTCAAAACAGCATATTATTTAAAATGCGCTGCTAGTTAGCATAGCGTCCTCAGAATTCAGAGGAACGTCAAGGTTATTTTAATTAATTTTGTTCTTTTTATTTTTGTTTATGATCGGGTCTCAGATGGCGATGAAGAAATGCTTTCACGTATTCTTGTTTGCTGTTGGCTCTGTGATACTCCTGAGGGTGCAATACACAGCTCGCTTGGATTTCCCAGACACTGTGATTACCCGTTCTCCAATATCTAATAGCACAGGTGAAAATGATTCACCCAAAAGGACAAGAAAATCGCAGTTTGTCTATCTCGTCCAAGGTGCATCAAGACGCCCTATTCCCGGTCTCAAGGCCACGCCGAATAGAGAAATAATATGGCTGACTTACAGAGACAAAACAGGCGACATTTACTTTCCGAATAGCACTCATGCCACAGGTCGTAACCGGCTGCTTTGGGAAGCAATTGAACGTGCAGCTAAAAGGAATGACGGCGGCTACTTGTACTACCTATTTCTGGACGATGATCTGTTGCTAACTAATGAGGAGAATAAAAAACGCTGGTGGCGAAGAAAATTACCAAGAAACCCTTATGATCGATTTGAAATGTTTTTACTCGATTTCCAACCGGCAGTTGGGTTCCCAAGATATAGTTTTAACATTCACGATGCTCCAGCCCCAGTTGGGGTGAAATACAACTTCGATGCTATTTTCAACGGGTTTCACCGCCACACTATTTCCTTCTTGTTGCCATACATAAGCGATTTAGATCACACCTCATGGTTCTTTGCGCAGTGGTTTGTCATTCACATATCTGCGGTGTTTTATAATTCAAATCGTGTCCTTTGCAACGCGGTGTACGCAAATAATGCAAGGCATCACTCGATCAATATGTTAAAGGGAGCCTACACCGATTCTGAAGACTTCCGTATATCGCGTGACTATTTTCGTACGTGGATTAACAAGAACAACACAGTTGAAACCGCTAAAGGGGGGAAAATTAACTTGCTTCAGACTTTTAAGGGACAGGCCATGTATACTGACATTCCAGGGAAAGCCAGGAGAAAACAAAGTATGGAATACAGAGTTTCCACAAAGTTTATAACCACTGCTTTCAATACGTCCCATCCAGGTATTCAAAAAATTCTGCACTGGAGAAGTTTACCAAAAGTAAAGAACATCCTGTATGGGAGTGAGAAGGATGAACCCGATTTCTTTCCTGATGTTTTTCCCTTGCACTAACTCCCTTCTTATACGGTCTACCCCTTCTATAAGGAAAACAGTAAGACATTACTTTCAGTGCTGAACCCAGGATTTTTGCAAGGGGTGGACAACCAAAAGAAAAAAGAAAATTATCTTGCCTCGTTGGACAAACATAAATTATGCAGGAAAATAAAGGGTAATTTAGACACTTTCATAAATTAACTGGCGAATTTCACGTGTAGTTGTGCAGAATTAAAAGTTTGAAACCCGGAAACGGGTTAATGTTGTTCTCCCAACATACATTTAATAAATGCTCCATAAAAAGAGATAAGGATCACATTATGCTCATTCACATGAAGTAGGACTATAATAAACTGATGGGTCACATTGCACTCCAAAGCGTACTTAAATAATTGCAGCCCTCTGGGGGTCTTCATATGTCTCTGGCAGGCATGGAGACATTTATAATACAGACAGTACATATTCCTATCACTTGAGTATGTAGTTCTTTACATTTCTGGTATGTTTTTTAACTAATTTCAGTCCTATAAGATATTGCATTTTTCATGTATTGCACCCTTTTAGACTTAGTATGCTTTTAAAGTCTGGGGATTCTACATGTACTCTCATAGTGAAAACACTCAAAATAAACCAATTCCTTACTTTTCCTGATTTCATCGATTTCTACCTATCCTAGCACTTCACGGGGACACGGGCTGGCTACCATGTCATACCGTAGATGGTTCAATTATTGATGGAAAGAATGTAGAACGTCGTTTAAGGAAAAAGTGCACAAGGTGTTTCCTTCTTTTTAATTTTTTTAATTTGTCAATTAATTAATTTATTTTTTGCACCCAGCCCCGGTGGGCTTATAAGTCACTGTTTTTTCTTAATATTAAACAGTTTTCAATCAGTTTATATTAAATACAAATTTACATAATAACTAAATATAAATATGTACCTATTATTTCTAATAAATAAAAGATATTTGTATCATAAAGATGCACTTAATATATCTATTAAATATTTTCCAAATTTTTTCCATAAATCATTCTCTCTCTCTGTGTTTGTGTGTGTGTGTGAGTGTTCAATCCAAATTTTAAAAAATATAAGTCATTCTTCAAAATTCTTGACATAATATCTTCTTTGAGGTTATACGTAAGCCGAACATTCATATATAAAATGTCTCTCGTCCTGTATTTTTCCACACTCAATGGGACCCTAAAACAAACATCACACACACACCATCTCTATTCTTATAGGTGGTCTACCTTGCCTTAACAGTAGGCCTACCACCAGTAATTTTGTCATTTTGTCAAACTCAAATGTGACGTATTTTTCGACCTTATATTCCTTTTCAAATAGTCTGTACATACTAGGGCTCTGTTCTCACAACTTTTAGATCGATCTATCACCGCGGGGAGTCTCACTAGATTACTGTCAGATAATCCGCCTTAGGTGTCCGTCCCCGCCTACTACAAGCTATAAGGGGTAATTAACTTTCGGGTCCGCCCGGCTGACAGCTATTTAGCGTGAACCCCCAGAGAGTTAGGTCGATCCAATGTAGGTCGATCTAATCTATGAGAATGGGGTGATACATGTACGACCTGAGTTTATCATAAAAGGACAAATCTCTCTCCCATTCTTCTTGATGCACCTAGGACAAGATAGACAAACTGCGGTTGTTCTGTCCTTTCTGGTGAATAATTTTCACCTGCGCTATTAGATATCGGAGAACGGGTAATCACAGTGTCTGGGAAATCCAAACGAGCCATATATGGCACCCACAGGAATATCACAGAGACAACAGCGAAAATGGATACGTGTGTTAAGATTTTGTATTTACATACATGTTATAGAACTAATAGTAAAGAGCCTGTGAAATGTTACCTGTACACATTTTAGTGCTCGATAAAATATTAGTTCGTAAAATGATAGTTCGTATTTTATCTAGGTCAAGTTTATTTTGATTAAAAAAAGCTTTAATAAGCTGCTGTTTTCATATGTTTTCGTATATAACCGTGAGTTTAACTTCTATAAATAATGAACTCTATTTCAAGAGCTCCCTGTGAATAAAAGGCCTAGCTACTTCTTTGTTTTACCATTTAGTTTTGCGATTTTTCACTTTAAACTATCATTTAAAAATGCCAATATTGGAGCAGCCAGTCAAGTTTTTCATGGTCTGTATTCTGCTCAGGTGGTATCATGAGCGTACTTTTTCTATCACTATGCTCTTTACATTTCAGTAAAAAAAAAAGAGTTTCTGTTTCAATGTCATTACAGTGGGGGCACTTACGATTTTCAGTAGGGGTGTTTGGATATGTGTAGCGACCCGTTCAATTTCCGAGTCATAATCACTAGCACGCATTTTCAAAAGAGTCTTTATTTGAGATTGAGAGCCTTTTATTGATATTGCAGTATCGAGAATTCAGAGAGTAAAGGCACGCACCAAAACTTTTGTCTAATTTTAAAGATTATTGAAAATGATATAGCAAATAGAAAATGATATAGTCTAGAATGAAACATCATATCGATCTTTTCGTTTAATTTCGTCACCCAACCAGAACTGAAACATGTTTGGATACAAATGTCCCATGAAGTGGTAAATATTGCGAAGTCGCCTGAGGGTCCTTATTTTTTAACCAAGGAAGTCGTCTTCTATCATGAAGTAGTACTAGGTAATATACTACGAAGTATCTTAACATGCGTGCATGTATTTCTTCATCGCCATGTGAGTTCTGATCCTAAACAAAAATAAGAAGAACAAAATTAATTAAATTAACCTTGATGTTACTCTGAATACTTAAATATTTAAACGATGGTCGCAATTAGAATTGAACAGGAACTTTTGTGAATCCATTCTCTCAGATCACCTAAGGTTCGGAGAAAACGGTTTAAAGTTATCATTTCCCTATTAATCCATGTCAAATAATTCACTGACACCGCCCCTCCGTACATTGTATAGTTAAAGATCGTGACATACACCCCATTTCCATAGATTAGATAGACCTACTTTAGATCGACCTAACTCCCTGGGGGTTCACGCTAAATAGCTGTCAGCCGGGCGGACGCGAAAGTTAATTACACCCTTACAGCTTGTAGTAGGCGGGACGGACATTTAAGTCTGATTATCTGAAAGTAATCTAGTGAGACTCCCCGCGGGGATAGATCGATCTAAAATCTATGGGAATAGAGCCTTAGATTCTTATCTTGGCTCCACTGTACTATATCTTGTCATATACAGTGTACAATACTAGAAGAAAGAACCATATTTTGGTATTTAGAAAAGCCAGGTTATTAAGAGGGAGTTAGTTTGCGCCCACTCGTGGCCAGTATTGTGCAACTTGTCAGAATAATTATCAGCATTAGTGTTAGTGATAGGTAAGTTAACTAAAGAAAAGTTACAAGTACTTTTCTGTGTTAGCATATGCCTTAACCCTTCGAAGAAACTGACTCGACAGGGGCAGATCTTCTCGGTCTGATGGAAGACGATCAGAATTTTTCAAGTTTACATAGACAGGTATGTATTTTTTTCTATTTTTTCTATTCAAGATTTCGTTGGCGATCTTCTTACTTTGACTGTAATGGTATCCCGTGACTTTCGTACTAACTTCGGTGGCAATACAATATGTCATGAGACTGTGGTCGCCTCGAGTGGTTTAGATCATATCAAAATCTTGAAGCATGTGCATGCCCAGGTATTACTTTCGCGGAAGAAAACTTGCCTGGGTAAACAATCGAAAAAGCGTGGTAATTTAAGAGAGGAAATATAAGATTAGGAACAGCCCTCATAAAATGGTTCGCAATCGTAATACGTTACACGAAATAAAATTTTTGCTTTGGGGATCTATTTGTATGCTTCTTAAGGATATTTCAACCGAAAGATTTATAATTTGAAAACCAAGCATTGTGTCTTTACGTGCTTTGTGCAAGCTTTTGAAATAGGTGGCATTTGTTTACGACACGTTCACCTACCGCTGCTCCGAGCAGTGGAAATGGAGGCCAAAAATACCTATCGCTTCCTAAAAAACAGAAAAGAAGCAAATGCTATGAATTTTCCGGGCAAAGATCCTTTCAGCTAACTGGGGAAAAAGAATTTCCGTAGATCATTTTTGTTGGCAAGGCCATGGCTAGCCGGCCTTGCAGATCGTCCTACAAAAAGATGTTGTTCAGATGTTTGGTCCAACATCTTTTAGGACAAGCTCCCCATCAGAACCAACAACTCATTTTCTTACGTGGCAAAAAACAGGATACATTTGACTTTTAACAACATGGATTATTTTTTCAATAAATTGGCCCATGAGTAAATCCAAACCGCGTGTGTGCGTTCGCGCGTGCGTGCCGGTGTGGGATGAGGGCAGTGGAGGAGATCAGCAACAATAATTTGGAAGGCTGTCAGAAAATATCACTGGATCCACCCCTGACTGAGTAACACGCTATTTCTCGTGAATTAAGGCATCTTTCGTATTTTTGTAAACCAGTTTTCAAACTCGGAACAATCCTCTGTAACATTTACTAATCTAAAACTGTTTGAACAATCCTCTGTTACATTTATTAATTCGAAACTGTTTGATTCACACATAGTGGTACATGAGATTGATTCGTGGCTTTTTCATTAATAATTTCGTCATTTAACTTTAATGAAAAATTATCAAATCTTTTAAACCACTACATTTGGCTCAATAAGATTAATATTATTTTGTAAGTGCAGTTGATCTACTTTGTCTCATATGAAAGAGAACATCCTCAAAATACTTCCTTATTATTCCAGATGTGCTGCTGGATAGCAAAGCTTCCTGAGTATTCAGAGAAACATCAAGGTTTATTTAATTAATTTCGTCTTTTTATTCTTGTTTAGGATCAGAACTCAGATGGCGATGAAGAAATGCATTCGCCTTTCCTTGTTTGCTGTTGTTTCTGTGATACTCCTGTGGGTGCCATATATGGCTCGCTTGGGTTTCCCAGACACTGTGATTACCCGGTCTCCGACATCAAGTAGCACAGTTGAAAATGATACCCCAGAAAGGACAGAACAACCGCAGTTTGTCTATCTCGTCCAAGGCGCATCAAGACACCCTATTCCCGGTCTCAAGGCCTCACCGAATAGAGAAATAATATGGCTGACGTACAGAGACAAAACAGGCGACATCTTCTTTCCGAATAGCACTCACGCCACAGGTCGTAACCGGCTGCTTTGGGAAGCAATTGAACGTGCGTCTAAAAGGAATGACGGAGGCTACTTGTACTACCTGTTTCTGGACGATGATTTGTTGCTATCAAATGAGAAGGATAAAAAACGCTGGTGGCGAAAAAATTTACCAAGCAACCCTTTTGATCGATTTGAACTGTTTTTACTAGATTTCCAACCGGCAGTTGGGTTTCCAGGATATTTTTTTTACCACCACGATGCTCCAGCCCCACTCGGGGTGAAATACAATTTCGATGCTATTTTCGACGGGTTTCACCACCACACAATTTCCTTCATGTTGCCATACATAAGCGATTTAGATCACACCTCATGGTTCTTTGCGCAGTGGTTTGTCATTCACATATCTGCGATGTTTTATAATTCAAATCGTGTCCTTTGCAATGCGGTGTACGCAAAAAATAAAAGGCATCACTCGAACAATGTGTTAAAGGGAGCCTACACCGATTCTGAAGAT